AGAATTTACAGAAAATGTTACATTTTTGTGATTTATATCGTTATCGGACGATAGAATTCTTATATTGGGATATGAGATTTTGGTCATATCACACAGCCCCACTGTACAGAAAATACTGTTTACTGTAAACCGCAAGCAAATTTAAACAACCTGCAAATAAGAGATCATGTCCAAAGTGTGCTAGATGTTCATTTTTAACAATTTCTTTAGAAATTTGTTGATGCTACTTGATAGCATCTTTTGTTAGAGCCTAGTGAGGAAGAATGAGCACTTTCACAGTTTGTGCTCATATGATATACGGCCAAAGGTTTCGATCCACACCTCTTAACATCTGAATACAGGTGTGTAAAATCAAGCATCTTTCCATGAAGTCTCACTTTACAAATGTTTGTGAAACAAGGGGTCACTCTAAAGAGCTCACTGAACTAGAGTGTAGCAATGTAGTAGAATATGATCATTGTAAATAGTCTGTTTGTGAAATTTCCCCATAGATATTTTATGATCACTAAGTGGCATTGCAGAGCTCCAATCCTCCCCATTAACACCACTGATATTGACATCAGCACAAACACTGTGCTGGGAGCTTCAAGGTATGGGTCTACATGGCTGAGCAGCTCCTATAGCTATAATATACATGTGGTCCAGTGCTTTTGTCCATACAGTGCATTTGCCATTTTTATGCTAATGTTTCTTGTATATTTAAAAAAATGTTTTTACAGAATAGTACAAAAGTGAGTTTCAAAACCAAAAACAAACAATGACAAAGTTGTAAAGAGGTAACCGGTGCTCAATGTTCTGTCTTCTGGCAGAATCGTGGGTGAATGAATATGCTACCAGTAGGTGATATGAAGCACAGAAGATGATGTGTAGACTAAGTGTACCATAGGCCAGCTGTCGGATGGAGATGGGCATGGTCTCCTCCTGGCTGAGAGTGAGGAGGCCTTCATTTGCTTTCCTGCAGGAAAACACACACACAGAGTTTTGGTTCTGAGTCTCACTGTGTGCTACAGAACATGAATAGAAAATATGTCAGTTATGAAAGTATGTCATTTAGTGGAAGATGATCTGAGATGAACAATGAAAATTGAACAATGAAAAAAGTTCACACTGAAGAGTGTGAAACTGAGACAGACACTCATCAAGGGACAACAATGATACAGTGCAGAATTCAGAGGTCATGCTTTAATATTTCTTAGTTAAATAAATAATAAATAGTGAATACATGTTGAGGAAGTTGAAGTATGGGCTTTCAGCTCTTCTAGTAAGAAACAGTTCTCTGGAGTCACACTATATAAAGTATAAAACAGTTAAACATGGTGGTGGCCACTTACTTTAGTAGCTTGTAGTAAGCGAAGCGGAAGGTTTCCTGCAAGAGCACAGACAGCACCACGCCAAAGATGAGCAGGCCTTTCTGCTGAGCCGCGCTCTCTTTATTACTGATCTGAACCGAGATGAACCACACCAGGGAGGAGAGCAGCAGCGACACCAGCCAGAAAAATGCCCTGAAAGAATGAGAACAAAGAAAACAGATATTACCCACACTGCTATCTCAAAGCTTCTGGGCTCACAGCAATTCCAGCATTGCTGTGAGCCCAGAAGCCCGACTCCTTTATTTTTTCAACAGTTCTATTTGCGAGGGTCAGCCAATTAAATGAAAGTAAAGGGAGGGTTAAGAAAAAAATACTTCCAGACTGAGGAGGAACTGAGGAGCAGCACCGAAGTGATAACATAATCAGGATTATCTTGAGATACCAGAGGACTATTTAGTTACTTTTACTTAGCAAGAATTAATTGACCATAACAAGGAGGCAAAGTGTCAACGAACACAAACGTAACGTCACGGCACTTTTACAAATTAACAGGTAAGATGTATGTTATCAATCAACAACCACAATTATGATCACAAGCTTATATCTCACTTAGGTCAAGACCGTATCTGAACCCTATACCACTACAATAGCAATGAATTATTTCAAAATCCAATCCGCCATAGTGCTAGCTAACTACGTGTGTATATACAGCCACCTTTTACTGACATAAGTCGTCAGCATCCTCCAATATCTGCAAGACCCATAAGAAACAAAACTAATAAAAGTCCCTCAGGCTCTCATTAAGCTAGCTCTTTCCTATCTTTGGGCGACTAATATCAGGCATTGCTGGAGCTTTAAAACTTTAAAAGGTCGGTGTATTTATGAAGCTGTGTAAATCGGAATGTGGTGACCTATGGCTAAATAAAAAAACCAGCAAAGTGTAAGACCATAATACCAGAGAATAGAAGCTAACGATAGCACATCAGCTAACAAACGAAACGATCGGTTAGCTAGTAAGCTAACACTGTCTAAAGGTTGGGATTTATTCAATATAACGTGGCAGTAGCATCTGTAATTACCAAATTATTATA